ATCTCTAACGTTCGGTAGTGGAATTGGTCATTGGACTTGAGGTCGTCATAATACCTTATATGAGGACAGTCATGCTTTGACGATGTTGGATGTTGCTTTGTCAAGGACCGCTAATACGACATCGTTCGAGTATATCAAGAATCATATAAAGGTTCTGAATTACCAATAGAGGATTGATCACTCTTAGATAGTAAGAGATTATGATCTGCATTTCATTCAATTAAGTCGATAACGAAATCTTTAACCAAGGTGTACTCATAAGTCGAAAAGGAGTTTTCGACTTATATTGACTTAATAGTGTAGTGAAAGATATGATCGATAATCGAGATTGACACATTTCCATATCTCGTAATTGATCGGATCATATTGACGAAGGGATTATAGTCTCACGATAAACAAACGAATTTGATTTTGTCATACCACGTGACATTTCTCGTCACATGTATTACTCTCACACATTAGTAGATGTCAATCTAGGACGGCGAGCGTGAATTGGTGATAAATTAAAATGGTGTTTTAATTTATCAATTTTGATTAGATCAAAGTAATATTTCACGTCATTGGGTATCGTGATCTGAAACCTGATGGGTCGCACAGAAAAGAGAACTGGAAGATTGTGATTTGTCAATTAATTAATTTAACAAGTGTTGGATAAATTAATTAATTGAGTTGGATAAATTAATTAATTAGTTTGCTTATTTCTAGGCCCAAATTAATTAATTGAATTAATTAATTCACGGATTGAATTTAATTAAATGAGTTAATTAAATATTGGACTGAATTAGGCTAAACCCGTTCGAGCTTATATAAATAAGTTACTAGGGTTTTCCATTGGTAAGAGACCTTTCATTCTTTGCTAGCACAAGAGAGAAAACCCTGGCTCCTACAATCTTGTTCTCTGTGTGGATCATCATTGGATGTTGGACAATTGGACAGCTGTGAGTGGCGAATCAAGATTGTTGGAACAAATAATAGAAAATGACTTTACAGATCTCAACAAAAGGTACATCTTTTATCACAATTTCTATCTAAATACAAAAGAGATCCATGGTGGAAATAAAAAATTGTTTTAATTTTTCGCTGCGCATGTTAAGTAGATTCCCAACAGATACAATATGACTATTAAGGATTTTTAAAAAATTCATAAAATTTTATATTGAAAACCCTAGACGTTTATGAAGTCTTAAAATGCTTGAATGAATGCAACTAGATTTTTAAGTCTTTAAAAGTTTAAATTAAATACTCCCCCTAATGTCACTCTATTGTCATGAATGGCGGTGATCCATTACGATAACAAATAACATTATTCTAAATTATACTTCATCTTTATTAACACAATTTGTTTATGTATTTTTTTTGTTATTAATAAAGCACAATTTTTCCTTTCTTTTTATTATGGGCCGAAGTAATTTTTGGGTTATTCAAACAAAACGTTACAGTGGAAAGAAAAACTAAGCTACTCATTGGTGCAGATTAAAAGTTAATAAAATTTTTAAATTAAAGTCAATAATTATTTAATTACATATTTCATGGTATTCACAACTTTTCAACAATATATTTTATCAAATTTTATTAAAATTTTATTTTTAATTCACACCAAACAGGGACTAAAATGCGTCGAAAGTAAAAGCTTTGTTTTAGAGTAATCACGCTGCACCATTTCAGCCGGCCCGATATTCAATCCCTATTTGATTTATTTAAAAACATATGTCAAAAGTAATCATAAAATTTTTTATACGTTTAATAAGACTCATAATTTGTAATAATTCTTTAATTACATATTTCATAATCTTAATTAAAATTTACCAAAAATATGAATTTAAAATAAACCAAATGGGGGCAAAAAGAACAGGGTACACTGGGCCAAAGTAAACTCGATGGGCGGCAGTTGAAAACGTGGAACCCGCAACACTAAATGGGCCCACTAAATGAAAATCAAAAGGCTTGTTTGGCTGCAAATTCACGGTCTCCCAAACGAGTCCAGAGGTCGAGGAAAAAAACATTTCTATCTTTAAGCAAAGAGTGTCAGTCGTGAATAAATAATGAATTCTCAGAAACATGTAAAAAATTAATTAAAAAAATTTTTTAAAACTTGTTCAGTCGAAATTTTAAAATTAGAGTTTTGCTACACGTACACGCCCCACACAAGAGAAGGCTCATATTTTTTTATTGGGCGTTGGTCCCTCCCTCTTGTGAAGGACGACAAATAACAAAATTCTTAAAATTATTCAGTAACTCTGACTTGTTAAGTCAAATTTACAAGAATGAAATTTTTTTCAAGGGACTAGCACCCGTAAACTACCAAGTATCATCTATATGAAATACTCGTGTTAGTTAATTGCATCAAAATAAAAAAAAAAATTTGAAATTGTTGATTTTAATACCAATTTTCATTTTCAAACACTACTATGTTCTTGTTTAATAGGGGTTAGAATTAGATTTGTAGCCCTGTTTGGCCTCCATTAATTTTCGTTCCATTCAATTTCATTTTTTTCTCTCATATTTTTAACCACACGAT